CCCCAAAACCCCAAAACCCCAAAACCCCACTTCTCTGCAGACATATTGAAAAATAAAATTTAAATTTAAGTTTTTATAATAATAAAATGGGAAGTCTTGCTACAGCTACTAAAAAAGAAATTATTCAAAAAAACAGGTAACTGGGAGCTTAGTTTTAGAATACTTTAAATTTTCACTCTCAAACTTATAACAAGTCCCAAAACTTTAAAGTTTAACCAAAATTTTCAACTTTTATAATAATTTCACCCAAAATTTCTTGGCCGAGAAGTTCATAGCAAAACTAGAGAGAGTTTATAAGCCTTACCTCTCTTAGATTAATTTGGGACCTCCACAGATAACATTTCTTCTAAAGCCTTAAACCTGGGATTTCTCAAAATCTAAATTAGCACCCTTTCATCTCCAACTTTCTGACAGATTCTGACATTGATCTACCTCCCCGTTCGCCTCTAATTGTGCAGCCTAGAGAAGTCTGTCCTGGCAGAAGCCAAGGAACAAGAGGTCACCACATGTCAGAGCATCCTCTATAAGGTTCATCCAGATGAAGAAGTTGAGCCATTTGACCCAGACTCCGAAGAAGTTTCAGAAAACAGTGAACTTCGAATTTGGTTGAGCGAAATCTTAGATGTCAAACTGTTGAAAAGTTTGAAGTGTCTTAAGGTTTTTGATACAGATTACCTTAGTTTGGATAGGATTGCTTCTAAAAATAGGCGTTTTGTTTTAAATTTCTTACAATCCTCATTCCCAGATAAAATTAAGGTTCTCGATTTTGAATCCAATGACCTAATGGATCTGAAAAGGTGCAACTACTTAAACTCCCTGACCACACTCAGCTCAAAAGTCGTTCGAGAAGTTTCCTTTGGATATTTCAGCATCGGCCTGCCCCAACTCAAGAGGCTAGTGGCAGCTTTCAGACATGTGAGAACTTTGTGGTTGACACATTGCAGGCTATCTATCCCAAGTGTTCCTGATTTGTCAAAGGCTCTGAAGAATTGCCAAATCCAGCAAATAAATTTATACAGATCAGGACACTCGGATAGAAGTGATTGGGAGAACAACTTCGACGAGTTCGAGAACTTGGTACATGGGTTAGCAAGCTCTCCAGATTTAAGATTGAGTCTTGAAGAAGTATATGTCTATGGCTGCGAAGTAACCCGATATAAAGTTGGCCAAGTCTTTGAAGAAAACCAGCTTGGAGGAGTTAACGTAATTGGTGGACTTTAAATTTTGGTTAATTTTTTATTTTTACTTCTTTGGCTTAAATCCTGTTTTCTCCATTTTTGGCACTTGGTTCCTTTTAATATATTTCAGGGTTTCAATTAAGCTCGTGTTTATTGGGGTTTTGGGGTTTTGGGGTTTTGGGG